CGGGGGCGCAAGGCGGCCCGGCCTCCAGCGCCCGGGAAAGAGGTTAGCCTGAGACTCTTAAGAGAAAGAGAACTCGAGAAGGGCTAGCATCTCCCAGGAATGAAGCCTTCAGCCAGACTTCACTCGATTCAAAAAGGAGACATCATTTGAAAAACAAGCAGTAAAACCTACAACAAATTAAAACAAAATAATTCAAAAAAGCTATGCATAAAGCTCTGGGACAATGTCACAAGATGTTATTGCTGTTGCTGTCTCTTGGTGTTGAAATTATAAGTAACATCCTTTTGCTCTTGTGTTGTCATAAATTTCTACAATTATTGTGTATTGTTTTAACTATTACATTATTAAGTGTAAAACATGCAGAAAGAGAATAAATCTTATATTCAGCTCGATGGCCTACATTTGACAAAAACGTTAAGAAACTGGAACTTCTCCCGAAGGTGACCAAAGTAGTATATGTCTGTCTGTCCCTGTCCCTTGTGGGGCAGAACCAGGCTGGAAGACTGGATCCCGCAGGGGAAACTTTCTAGAGCCTGGCGCTGCTGTGCAGGGGGCCCTGCTGCACGGGGTGAGCAGGGTGCTCAGGTCCGGGAGGCTCCTGCAGCGAGGCTGGGGTCGGAGTGGGGGACCCCGGGAGCCACTGGGCTTACTTGGTGTGGTTCCACAGTTCAGTCAGTTTTCACCACAGTCATTAATGAGGTAATTTCAGTGAGTAAGTCAAGCAGTGCTATTAGACACACTCTCGCCCCGGGGGCACTCGTGTGGTTCCGAGTGGGCTGCAGTGTGTCTGCAGAAGCGGCCCCGTCGCTGCTGGTTCTCCCTCCAGGACGCGGCTCTCCCCGTGGGCGCCAGGCTTTTGTGGTGGGGCAGCCCTGAGCAGGGGGCATGCAAGGAACAGGCCTCATAGGAGTGAAGCGGAAGTTCCCAAGTCCGTGAAAACGAGCCCCTGGGTAATTTCAAATGTCTTTTCAACCAGCGTCTTAAAAGTGATGAACATATTTAAGCATTTGAAATGTATGTAGACACTGCCTGGTAACCACCATGTTTCTCTGTTCCTTTTTTTTTCCTTGAGAAAAATAAGATAATTCAGGTATCGAGAAACTGATGGGGAGAGGCTGAGAACAGCTCTAACTCCCAAACAAATAGAAACAGAAGCCAAGGAAACCAGAAACTCAGGAATCAAATAGTGTGCAGACAGGAAGGAGGCCCACAACAATTTTTTAAGCAAAGCAGATGTGATAAGGAAACCTAATTGGCTTCATGTGATACTGGAGGACGGATGTAGATTTTGACTTCAGAGCATTCCAGAGCCCAGAGGTGGACAGTTAGGAGGTCTGGCTTGGGGCCAGCGGGGATGTGGGCGTCCCTGACGCTGTCACCCCGAATAGCTCAGGACTGCAGTACGGAATTCTTCTTTTCTTCCTGGTACAGTTTTCATAAAGCCAGCCTCTCAGGTTAAGGCTGGTTATCAGTCTTAAAAGCTACAGTTTATCTAGAAGTGGTAAAGATATTTTTAGGGTTTGTTTTTAGTCTAATAAAATGTCACCTGAGGAGCAGGAGGCTGGCACGCTCCCTTGGCCCTCGGCTGCTTGTCGAGGCAGCGCCGGGAGGCACCAGCCGCGGGGGCCCTGCTGACTCGCCAGCTGGTGGTCTGGTGCCATCTGTTTACTGCGCCTCGGTTTCCCTGCCTGTAAAGTGGGTGTAGCAGCAGTGACCCCACTCCAGGGCGGTGTGAGAGCAAACCAGGTGGAGACGCTGGCTGGGTGGCCACACGTGTAAGCCCGTAGCTCACGTCACAGTAATACAGAGTTTGTCTCTTTTGTGAGTTCACTACTCTTTTTATTCTCCCAAAAGGATTCACAAGTGCTTGAGAGAGAATAAATGACAGATGAGGACATGTTTTTCTGTGGAATCGTGAAGTTCTCAGAGTCCCACCGTCTGGTTGTTCTCTTCACTAAGCTTTTAGACTGTAGGTCGCAGAGGGCTGCCCAGTGCTCCGAGTCTGGCTCCACCGGGGAGGTGACTGGGTCTCAGGACCTGACAGTCCCTGGAAGTCGCCCCCGGATGAAGTGAATGTTTACCACCCACCTCGCTAAGCTCCCTCCTGTGTGGATTCTGCTTGGTTTTTTTTCTTTCCTGAATCGAGACACCTACCTGGGTTTTGTTCACGTGTGTGGAGCTTGCATTTGTGGTGGAGCCTGTGAACTGATGGGGCTGGGATTTGAGGGGCCCCGGTGGTTTCTGTCTCCACTTGCTGCCCTGACCTCAGGTGCGGCCTGCCTCAGGTGGGAGTGGATAGGGTTGCTCTGTGCTATGGGGTCTTTTTGACCTTCCTTGGTAAGTTGTATGAACTCCTGTCTCTTAGAAGCGGGCGAGTTCATGTAGATGGGATCCTGTGCTGTGTGAGAACCAGGCCCCTCCGGGTAAGCAACAGTGAGGGCTCCCCAAGAAGCTGAGCGCCGGAGAGCCCCAGCCGCTGCACGTGCACAGACCGGGAGGCCCCACGCATGCACCTGCCCTGGCTGTGCTGCGGGTCCGGAAGGCCTCCCCCAACCCCGGGGCTTCACCTCCCCCTCCCCCTCCCACTGGGCTCAGGATAAGGAACCAAGGTAGCAGCCAGTGAGGGGAGAGAAATCTAAACTCATGGGAATCTGGTTTTTACCGCCATCTTTTCTTATTCCATATAAGCATCTCTTAAGTTAGTTCAGTCTTCTAAAAAGCTTAGCTCTACAAGTTTTCGGAGTGGATATTAAGAGCAGAGGGCGTGGACATGTAGAAGACATGGGGGACGACAGACCAGTGGGATAAAAGGTAAAGTGATTTTTTTCTTTCTGTTTCCAAAGAAATTGTTATTCCAGAATAATTCCCACTCATTTCTCCTTTCATGGTGTAGAGAAGCCAAAATTATTGTTGAAAGTAAATTGAAACCCTCCTTTTTCACTCTTGAATGGAAGGGGAGAGGTCGCTGACAACAGTGACAGCGATACGTTCCCTGGAAAGTTGTAAATAATGAGCACCAGGCGGATCCTGACTGTAAGTCACCGACTCCTGTGTCTGGCAGGGAGGCTCCCAGCCCCTCCAGGAACTGCATTTCTCCCGAGAGCTGAGTGCGTGTTATAAAAAGTGTTTTTATGTTAGTAAGACTGAAATTGTAATTAGTTTTCTGAACAAGTTGGGGGGAAATTATGAATTACATTGTAAAGCTTCACCATATTTTATTCTGCTTTGAAGAAATAAATGCCCTTTTAAAACTACAAATTCTTTAAAAGGCAGTGAGGATAAAAGTTTCTAGAAAGCCCCTGGGAGCCTCAAATGACTTCGCTGGGACAGTGAAAGAGGAACACTCGTTCACAAAGCGTGAAGTAACCCCGAGGTGAAATACGGTACCTGAGTGGCGCCTGGGGCTCACGGGAGGGGGAGCAGCGCAGCCTGTTTCCCCCAAAAGGGGGTGAGTTCACGGCTGCAGGGGACCCTCCCCTTCTCTTCTCATTTAAGAAATTTCCAACACGTTCCATCCTGCATCTCTGCTCCTTAAAAAAGAATGAAGTGTATTTGTGCCTAGATTTTATCACCTTTAGTTTGAAGAAATAAAGAAATAGGCAAAGTGAAGAAAATAGTTAATTTCCAGGAGTAGGTGAGCCCCGGGTGTTTTCTGTGGCCCAGCGGCGCCGAGCCCTGTGAGAGCCCCGGGCCCGAGCTCGCGCCCGTCCCCGTGTCACTCCAGAACCGACGTGGAAGCCCCGGCTGCCGCTCGGCGGCAGCGGTGATGTCAGACGAGCTGTATTTGAATGCTTCTCCCTCCGAGCGGCCTCTCTCCCCGGACGCAGCGGGCGTCGCCTCACCGCGCTGAGAGCA